CTTTCCAAGAAATACAACAAGACGGTGCACCCTAGACCATTCAAGGTTGGTGATTGGGTTTTGAGGAAAGTTATGGGCAACGCCCTGGTGCCAGGTGAAGGCAAACTAGGGGCAAATTGGGAAGGACCCTACAAGATAACCGGTCTGGCGGGCAAGGGGGCATACCACTTGGAGGATCTGGATGGTAGAGGAATACCCCGGCCATGGAATGCGGCCAACCTCAAACTGTATTATTTCTAGCTTTAGCTTTCTTTTTGTGCAAAGGAATTTTTTGGCTTACACTTCAGAATGTAATTCTTTTTGTCAATATATAGAAGTGTCTCATCTTGCCTTAGCATTTTTAATGTTGCTTTGAGTCTTGAGATTCCTAACCGAGATGATTCACTCCGGCTGGAAGAGTTGATGACTTGCTCAACTTAGGATTCCCAACCGAGATGATTTACTCCAGTTGGGAGAGTTGATGACTTGCTCAACTTAGGATTCACAACTGAGATGATTCACTCCGGTTGGAAGAGTTGATGACTTGCTCAACTTAGGATTCCCAACCGAGATGATTCACTCCGGTTGGAAGAGTTGATGACTTGCTCAACTCAGGATTCCCAACCGTGATGATTCACTCTGGTTGAAGAAGTTCAATTCTGCTACTTATACCATGATGTGAATTCTGGTCAGGCCAGGTGGTTCAAACCGAGATGTTTTGCTGAAGATATAGTTGGAGAAAACTGTGCAAACACTTGATGAAATTAAAGCTTTTCATTGATAAAAAGTTAATACAAAAGGTGGGGAACTTAGCCCGGTTACATTTGCAGACAAAGAAAAAAGAAAACTAAGCTAAGGGGGTGAGGTTTGGGAATTCCCCATCAGCTTCTAGGTTGACCGTTGTTCCCCGGCTCGGTTTGGTTATCTCCCTCAGCGTCTGCCTCGGCTTCTTCGAGTCCTTCCTCGGCCTCAGCCTGCAGCGTGCTGAAGACGTCATTGGCGTATGGAATGAGGTAGGTCGGTAAGAAGACAGCCGGTGAAGAGGCAAACACATCAGTGCCAGGACCTTGACCAAGCTGTTGACAGGCAGCCTTCCATCCAGCTTTGAAATATATGTCCTAGTTGTCTTCCGCCTCTTTGAAGCCGGCATTATTGGCGTCTTCACAATCCTTCTCCCTAGACTTCTTGAGCGCGTCCAGCTCGGCCTGGAGCTCGTCCATCTTTTTCTCGGCTTCGTCGAGTTGGCCGAGCAACCGGTTGTTGTCGGTGTTGGCGATTTCAAGCGAGGACTTTGTTCGGCCAAGCTCGGTTTGGAGGCTTTGGACTTGGCTGGCAGTGTCGGCTGCCTTTTGCCGAAGTCGGTGGATGCACTTCATGATTAAGTGTTGTTTTTGGATGGCCTGCAAAAAGGAAACTTGATCAGAGAAGAAACCGTGCAAACACTTGTGAAAATTTCAAAGGCAGATTAAAGCTTACCCTGGCCATGGACTTGACAGACGACTTCACCAACCGGGTGTCAGTGACGTGGTCGCTGCCGACCACGTCTCTCGGTAGGAGAAGGGCCTTGGAAAGATCGTAGGCGAGCAGGTGCTCTTTGTCGCCCTTGATCGAAGCTGTCGCCGGGATGTCTTTACCCCGGTGCTTGAGTAGAGGACGCCAGATTGGTGTTGGGTCAGCTGTGACGGTAAGTTGCTCGGTGGTTAGCTCGGTAATCAGCTCGGTAGACGGGTCCGCGCGAGCTCTTTTGCCAGCCCGACGTGTTTCTTGGCTTGACTTCCCGGCAGCTGGAAAAGCTAGGGCGACCACAGCGCCGCTTGACTGACCGGCGGCTGGCAAGCGGATGACGACGCTCGGTATCTTGGCAGACGTTGAGGTGAGCAGGTTCTTGATTCGGCTTCGTTTGGCCATCTCTTGCTTTTCTGTCAACTGGATTAGTGGAACATCTGGCAAAGTTGGATTTGGAGGAGGTGATGGAGCACGGAGAAAGTCTGTAACTTTACTCCGGCGGGGAGCAGAGTATCTGTAGGTTGGAGTGTAACCGAGCAACTCGTTGCAATCTCGGTCGCGGTAGCGAAGCGCGGTCCTGATGGCTTCTATGTTGGGGTATTGGTAGTTGGGTTGCAAGGCCTGGATTGCTGCAAAAGAAACAAGAAAAATGGTTAAGTACAGAACTATGAAGAAAGTAAGGTAACCGAGCAAGTTTGAACAGCTTACATGTGGAACGAAAGTTCTTGCTTATGAACCAGCCCGGTACATCGGCTGTTTCATAATTGCCAGACACCCAGAAGAAATCGTCATCATGCAAGTCTTTGTCTGGTGTGCCAGTCACAATTTTTTCTTTGCCCGACCTAATCTTAAGGTAGTAGGCGAGGCCGTCGCCGGTGTGCCCAAGGGTGTACTGCCGCAGTATCTCGGCTAAACCTAGGTTTATGCCTAACCGGTTGTTTAATTCATGCACACCGTTTACTATCCGGTAGGTGTTGGTGGACACTTGAGTGGGTGCTAGCCCGGTGCGGCGCAGAAATTCGGTGATTAGTGGATTAAGCGGGAAACGGAGGCCTCCTTCGATGATGGACAGCACAGTGAAGGGGCATTGTTCTGATCTGCCCCAAGGCGTGGTCTCTTCTTCTGCGAGCTCAAGGTGGACGTCGGCCGGGATGCCGTACTCCTCCCTGAACGCAGCTAGCGCAGCCGGAGTATCCACCAAGAAGCGAAATTTCCCCATGTGGCTGACTAATCTAGCTTGGCCGTGGTGGTTTGGCACAGACTAGGAATGGGTGGCAGTTCGGTCCTTATGAGCCTCAGAATTGGTCTTTGGCCCCCTTGGACTCTGCAAGAAAAAGGATGGCAAGTATAAGAGGAAGTGCGGTCGCGTAAAACGAGCTTGACTTTAGCTCGGTCATGGATTGTACCAAACCACTACGGTCATAAAGTCTAACCAGGAGCTCAGTCGCCCAAACGGACCAGTTGTTAGCCCGGTCGAGCGGCCAAGTCCTATGGCCATTCCGATTTTTGCTAAGATTACAGCAAACAGTTTATTTGCTCGGTTAAACTGATTTCTTGGATCAAATGAAGATCTGGAGCCCGGTCAGCCCCAAATCCTCAGCGTTCTTCAGGAAAAATGAAGAACAGTTTGAAGAAAAACGAAGAAACTAAGGGGCATTGAAGGTTGTGGGTGGGGAAAACCCTAAAACCTACGGATTTGGTACCAGAGAGGAAGAAATATCAAATGAAAA